CCTTTTGTGTCTGTTCTCTTTGTTCTAGACTGGTGATTGTATATATTCTTACACATATATTGCCTGACACCCTGAATCTCAAAAGCAAGGGGACTGTACTCTATACTCTATGGGCCTGTTAAGGTACTTTCAGGGGTAACTGGGCTCCTTCCTGATTTGAGAACCTTATTGTCCTGGAAGATGCTCTCTACTCAGGGTCTGTCACTGGGACACAATAACAAGAGTGGGGATCCTTGGGTCAAAGGGACTTCCTGCTGTTTCCAACATCCCAATGCCTAGCCCTGGAGGCAATATAAAAGCATTCTGGGCTGAGACTGACCCCCACTGGTCTGCAATTCTTTATAGTTTGTATTTTCTAAGCCATTGCTTCATTCGAGCCTAAGAATAATTTAGTCTGATGCAAGATCTAATTTAGACCAAGGAACTCAGGAGCTCAGAGACCCCTCTGCTAACAGTAGCCAGGAGCCCTGGAAACAATATACAGTTGGGAGAGCTGGCTGTGTGGCCCCAGTTTTAGATGTGTGATTTCAGCATTTTTCTATATAAATTATGGATAACCACAGACAAAATTATTTTGAAGCTCCAATAAAGCAATGTTGGTAAAAGCATTTTGCAAACTGAAGCATGGTCCAAATGTTGTCATCCTCGGACTTGACATGTCATTGAAAGCGTTTCCTAAGTTGTGCTAAAGGAGTCCATGTGGACAAGGACAGGAGAGTAAGTGGATTTGTGTCCCCGCTAGTTATGTACTTGTGTCTGCACTTAAACTATTTGACTTTGAACTTAATTGCCTGAATAATCCTCATTGCTTGGGCAGCTGCACCCATCATCTCCTGTGAGCCACATCCTGGCCCTGACTTCTGTGGGTGGGTGAGGGCTGAGGTGAGATGGGGTGGGAAATTCACTCTGGACTTCGCTGCGAGCCTTACCCTCAGATTGGTACATTACTAAGGTTTTATGGATCTATGTGAATTCCATTATGGAACCGAGCCTGAAAGCCAAGCAGTCAGGTGGGCCTTGGGGTGAATCAGAGGGCATTTGCTCATCTGGGGGTGGGTGCCCCAGCTCCAGTTGATTGATACCTTGGGGGAATGCAGTGTTGTGTGGCCACATTGTCAGATTTTCTGAAGTTATTTTTTTCCACATGTAAAATTGTCACATTTTTCATTCTTACGGCAACTCTACTGGCTGGCTGGATTAGGGAGCAAGCCTTGGGCCAAGGCTCTGGGCTTCAGTGTTCTCATTTATAAATTGGTGATGGTATCACCTTTCATAGGGCTGTTAGACCAGATGAGAAAACAGAACACCTAGCGTGCCACACTGGGCCTGGCTGCAGGAATCCAGCGGGAAACGTCAGCAACTTGTGTTCTGTGGTTGCTGGTAACCCCCAGGCTTCAGAGGTTGCACTCCTGGTCCATTTGGGGCCCATCACCCATATGATTGAAAGGAATCTTGGGATTATGCAGGCCTTTCAAGTTTGGCGGTCAAGGAGATAATATTAAGGGGTTTTGTATATTAGAAAAATAACTTTTCACCTCTCCTCCCCAAACCTCACGATTTCACGTTAGTGGTATATTTTTCTTAAAAAGTAAATTTCAGCAAAAATAAGTGAATTAAATGAAAAATTTTTAAGTAATCAAAAGTATAAATGCGATTGTAATCGTTAAGATGATGTCAGGTGACCTAAGATTGAGGAGCACCATGGTCCCACCGTTTCTCCAGTCACATCCTGGCCAGCACTGTAGGCATCAGATCCCTGGAGGACTCCGCCCCCTGTCCGCTTCTCGCTACTGGGGAAGGCGGCAGAAAGGGAAGGAGCGCGGGGCTTTGAAGGCACCAAGGTCAAGGGAGGGCGGGCTGCAGCTCAATCCCTCCGAGCCGTGTCGAGGGCCTTGGGGGACTCTACGCGCCCAATCTCGGCAGCCCCGGTTTTGCTACTTCGAGCCCAGCGACCTTGGTTTGCAAGACTTCCTCGAGCCCAGTTTACTCTTTTGGGAAATGGGGTGGCCATGGCTGTCTGTGGTAGGAAGGGGCGCGCCGGGCGAGAGACTGCGGCCCTGTGAGACTGCGGCCTCACAGGGCGCAGGGTCAGTTTCGGACCTCTCCGCCTACGTAGCGCTCGGACCGCCGGCCGCTGGGTCAACACCATCGTTCAGTCTATCCTCGCGACCCTCCGCAAGGCCCAGGCTCGCGCGGGTTCTAAAATGAGGACAAAGCCCGCCCGGATCTAGCGTGAGCGCGCTGACGTGGCCAATAGAACACCTGTGCAGGGTTGAGTGACGGGCAGGCGCAGCCAATGAACATGCGTGTCGTTGCGAGGTGGCTCCCGGCTTCGGCATTATAAAGAGCGCCACGAGTCGGCATTGTCAGGCGGCGGCACCGCGCGGGCCCGAGCTATACTGTTGGTCGGCGGGTTCCGTACGGCAGCGGCCAAGGAGGAGCACGCGAGGTCGCGGCGGCTCCGTCGGTGGACGGAGGGAAGGCCCAGCAGCGCGAGCGTGAGCGCGGCCGAGCCCGCGGCGCCTTCCCGGCGGGTGGGGACGAGCGGGCCTCGCGGCGTCACCGGCGGCGAGGTGAGCGGCCGGGCCCGCGCGACGGCGGGCGGCGGGCGGGAGCCGCTCGGGCCTGACGCACTGTGGCCTTCCTTTGCAGGAGCCGCCGCGCCGTGGCCTAGCATGTCGGAAGCGGGTGAGGAACAGCTCATGGAAACGACGGGTGCCACCGAGAACGGGCACGAGGCCGCCCCCGAAGGCGAGTCGCCGGCTGGGGCCGGCACCGGGGCCGCGGCGGGCACTGGAGGCGGGAGCGCGGCGCCCCCGGCCGGCAACCAGAACGGCGCCGAGGGTGACCAGATCAACGCCAGCAAGAACGAGGAGGACGCGGGGTAGGTGCGGCCGCGGGCCGATGGGGCGCCGCCTTTGTTCGGGGCCGCCTTTTGTTGGCGCCACGCGGCGGGGGGAGGGGCGGGCGAGCGGCCGGGGCCTGTTCGGGCCCGCGGACAAGCCCACCAGCCTCCCGCCGCGCTGCCGCTCGCGCTCGAGTTTGCAGGAGTTTGTTGGGTCGACTTTGGTGCCGCCCCGGGGCCGCTCGCGCGGAGCCGGGGACAGGCCTGGTTCCCGGAAGGGGAGTGCGCTGGGACCCAGGGCCGACCTGGCCTCGGCCGCTCGGGGCTCCGTGGGCGGAGTTGGCGCGCGCCTGGGGCCGCGGCTTCCCTTCCTCCTGCCACCTCCTGCCGAGGGCGGAGTCACGGTCTGAACGCGGTTTCGGCTCCCGGAAGCCTCGGGTTCCTTGAGAGCGAGTTCTCGGAGGTGGTGAAGACTGGCAGGGACGAGAGCCTTTTCGATACGTGGTTGTTACACAAATTCCTTGCAGTTGTGAGTGCATAGAACCTATACTCCTGGCCAAGATGTCTTTCCTTTTCCGTCGCGCAGTCTGGGGGTGCAGTCTCCTGAAGATTTGTTTGGGCCAAGGTTGAATTTGGGAGGGTAGTGGAGCTTGGTTAACGTCTTCCAAAGGTAGAGCCATCGGGCTGAACGGGTAGACCTTTGTTCTCAATGGTGGTTTTATTTATAATCTTCAGTGAAAGTTTTGCCAGCGCCAGTCCTAAAATCACAGCTTTCTTTTAAGAACTTGTTGCATGTGTCCCACCCTTCCTTTTCAGAAAAATGTTTGTTGGTGGCCTGAGCTGGGATACTAGCAAAAAGGACCTAAAGGATTATTTTACCAAATTTGGAGAGGTCGTTGACTGTACAATAAAAATGGATCCTAACACTGGCCGGTCAAGAGGGTTTGGGTTTATTCTCTTCAAAGATGCAGCCAGTGTGGAGAAGGTAAGCTGTGGTACTTTATGTCACCAGTGTATTCTAAGTGGACACCATTCTTAGAGTATGATTAGTTTGTTTTGCAGGTGGTTGAGTGCTTTGGGACAAGCAGAGAGCTTAAGAACTTCGTTCCTGTTTTTGAAGCTATTTAAAAGGACATACTAAGTCGGGGAGTGCATATGGGCTGGAGTGGTCCAGGAAGATGGTAGTGGGCGCTTACTTTCTTGAGTCTGTCCTGGACACTGCACTTGTGAGGACTAGTCAAGAGTTCAAGGTTCCTATGAGATAAGCCTTATTTTAGTGCTATTTTTCAGAAAACAAAGTAAGGATCAGAATAGTTTAAGTAGAAGCTAATTCACAGCTAGTTAAGGGGTGGATGAAGATTTCAACCTTAGCTCAGCTCTAGCCTGCTGCTTTACTTCTGGAGATAGGTGTTAAACTGGGACTGCCTGGGCAGGAAGGGGTGTACAGTACAGCATGGGCAAAGTCTGGGGGTGGTGGTGAATAATATTTATAGGTAAACCCACTGTACTTTAAGTTTGCAGGATATTGGGTTGGGAAATCAGGTTGGGGTAGAGTTTCGAGGTGATGAAACGTTTTGTGTACTTGGGTTGGAGTTTTTTATCTCAAAGAAAAGGGCTTTGGCGAGGGTCATGCTGCTGAGTTAGAACCCAACTCCCTTCTGTTGGAACAGGTCCTAGACCAGAAGGAGCACAGGCTGGATGGCCGTGTCATTGACCCCAAAAAGGCCATGGCCATGAAGAAGGACCCAGTAAAGAAAATCTTTGTGGGGGGTCTGAATCCTGAAGCCACTGAGGAGAAGATCAGAGAGTACTTCAGCGAGTTTGGAGAGGTGAGTGTGTGGCCCCAGGAGTGGCCTGCCAGCTGCCCTGAGGTGTCCTCCTTTCTGGTCCTTGGCAGGCTGGAGCCCTCCTCAGCAAGCTTTTTCGCGCTCTGCCTTCATGGGACTTGAACCTTGTCAGTTCCCTATGGGCCCTGGGGGTTACTGGTCCTGAGCTTTGCCTATGTTTACAGATTGAGGCCATTGAGCTTCCAATGGATCCAAAGTCAAACAAAAGGCGAGGCTTTGTTTTCATCACCTTTAAAGAAGAGGATCCTGTGAAGAAGGTTCTAGAGAAAAAATTCCACACCATCAGTGGAAGTAAGGTAGGGTGTCTCTAGCTGTGTGTGCCTTGCCGTTGGGAGGGCTGGCCCTTGCAGGTGTGGCTTAGGGGTTGGGCTACCTCCAAGAGCTCTCTTGGGTAGTGGGACCTTTCTGTTTTTCTTCAAGGAGCTCCTCGGTTGGCAGGACCGGCAGTAAATACAAGGTGTGTGGGAGGCAGGAGAGGACAGTGGCTTCTTTGGGATAGAGCAAGCATGCTGAGTAGTCTGTTTGATTCCTGATTTAAAGCCAGAGATCAAGGTGTTCTGGATCTAGAGTCTGTATCTAGAGTTCCTTTGTAAGTTATATAAGGTATAAGGCCTACAGTTCTCAGGAGATTCTAGAACTTCTGCCATGTACTGATTTCTTCCCTTGGTGGTGACGTCTTTTCCTGCTATGGACACTGCTGCAGATTTTTTTCTCCTATCTTGTTCCCGCCACAACCAAGTCTTTATTTACCTCCATCCCCTTAGGACACTGGTTTAGTCAACCCCAAGCCAGCAAGATCCTTCCCAAAGAGCCCCTAGGGTCTTGGCCAGCTTTTGTTCAGGGCATTTTGCCTTCAAAGGAGCGGAGTTCTGTGCATTGAGAAGTGCAGCTATTACCTCCCTTGAACTCTGGTCAGGAGAGGGTAGTTCCTGCTTCAAGTATTCTCTAGGTGGTGGTTGGGATTTGAGGGTGTGGCTTACTGTGTCAGGGTGTGGCAGGCTGTCTGAGCAGGAGTGGCAGCCAGATAAGGTGGGACAGGTAGGGTGGGGCTCCTGGAAACCTCAATATCCTGGCTGGGCATTTGGGAAGGTTGGATCTGCCCCTGACATTTCATGTAAAATGAGATTGACTCCTAGGAGCAGTTGAGTAAGACATTATCCACTAGTTGTTAGCCCAGTAGACAGTGACAGAGGCCTTCTAGATGTGCCTTAATGGGAAGTGCGCTGGAAGAGCCTATAGGGCAGCACCAGTCAAACTAGTGGTAGTGGGTCTTGAAATCGAGTGTTTAGTTGTACCCAGCATTAATTCAGTAGGGTAGAAACATCAGATTGCATCACTTGGTGTGGGGGGTTGTTTGCCAGTTTTTTATAGGATTATGCTTGTATGGGGATACCTTATGTAAAATGTTTTTTTTTCTGACCTTAATTGGGGTGAAGTATGTGTACTTTATTTGAAAAATATTGCTTATGATTTATTTAAGTGGGAGCACTGGAAGGTCCCTGATCCTGTCCCCACCCACAGTGGGCAGGTTTCTGAGCAAAGAGGAAATTGACTCTGGGCCCTGAGTGGTCTCAACGATAGACCAGTGGTTGGGGAAAGGGAGTGCAGTATGTATGGCCTCAGGCTTTCTTCCTCTGTAAGTTGGAAGTCAGGGTCACCATTACTCTTGAGTGGGCTATTTCATTTCTGTAAAAGATAAAATCAAATAAAGCCTTATTCTCTAAGTCTCCACATTTGGGAAGCCTTCTCTTACCCCCTTGCCCAGTAGGTCCTAGGTGGCACTAAACCTGACACCTGGTGTGTCTTGCTATACTGGGCTGGCATTGGCCCAGCTGTCCCTCTCCTCCCAATTGTTAGACATGGAGCTACCTGCCCCAGGGCTCCATCCATCATCCCCAGTACGTTCTCTGGGGAAAGGTTTTAGCCAAAAAGGCCCTGGTGGAAAACTTGGTCTGTGTAGTTTTAGTCATGGTACTGAGAGCTACTAGCACAGTATGCTTTCCCAGAACCCCAGCATACTTTGTTTTGGATACTGGACCAGATCGGCTACCTGAGTGTTCGTCAGTGAAGATCTTTGTGTACAGTCCCTGCCTAGAACTTGTTCTGGTGGCCTGACCTCCTGTCCTCTTGGTTTTCAGTGTGAAATCAAGGTGGCCCAGCCCAAAGAGGTCTATCAGCAGCAGCAGTATGGCTCTGGGGGCCGTGGGAACCGGAACCGAGGGAACCGAGGCAGCGGTGGTGGCGGTGGAAGTGGAGGTGAGTGGTACTGGGTGAAGTGGGCTGCCTTCCCTGTCTGCATGGAGCTTCCGGGCCTGTCTGGGGGCTCACTCTGGCCTCGTGTGGCAGGGTGGGTAGGACCAGGAGTGGCTCTCCTGGGTCCAGGGTGTGCTGCTGCTGCTGCCGCCGCTTGGAGTGGAAGAGGCCCCCGTGCTTCCCATGTGGCCTGGGGCACTTGCATCGCACTCTGAGGGGGCCTGCTGGGCTCTGGCTGTCCTGAGTCTTGGTCCATCCGTGGGTGGGTGGGCAGAAAGTAGGGCAGGGCTGTGCCAGGCGCTTTACCTCCTATCCCAGGCCCCTCTGACTCCAAAGCCTGAACGCCATCCTTTTTAAGGCCAAGCTGCCAGGGAAGGTGGGGGTGTTACAGTGAGAGAGAGTTCCTGCCTCTTTGGCCCTGAGTGAAGTTAGAGTTCCGCTCTGTCCTGGCCTTCAGCTCTGCAGCTTGGCTCTCAGGTGTGGGCCCAGGGCCCTGTGTACCCGGACAGCAGCCCCTTGGCTTCTACCTCTAGAGTTGCCATAGTAACCCTACCACCCAAAGGGCAGGATTTCCTCCATCCTAGCTCCTGCGTGTGCTAAATGGTCCCCGGGCCCCTGTGCCCTGCTCCCCCCACAGGTCAGAGTCAGAGTTGGAATCAGGGCTACGGCAGCTACTGGAACCAGGGCTACGGCTACCAGCAGGGCTACGGGCCCGGCTATGGCGGCTACGACTACTCGCCCTATGGCTATTACGGCTACGGCCCCGGCTACGACTACAGTAAGTAGGAGAGGGAGGCCCCATCCACTCACCCAGCTGGGAGGCAGGACAGACAGTGAGTGCAGGGGCCACTGGCAGCAGGGGCTTTGGAGTCTGACCAGCCGGGCTTTGTGGCCTGCCCCAGGGGTGTTGGCTGTGAGGATGTCAAGCGCCTGGCACAGGGGTAAGTGCTCAGTAAGTTTAGCTGCTATCATTGCTGTTCTTGTCCCTAGGTCAGGGGAGTACGAATTACGGGAAGAGCCAGCGACGTGGCCATCAGAATAACTACAAGCCCTACTGAGGCTTCGACAGCAGTGCCCGACCAACCGCACACGCTTTGTTTGGATACGAGTGAACACAATTATGTACCAAATTTAACTTGGCATCCTTTCTATGGCCTGTCCCATGTGCATCTTATTTAAAATTTCCCCCCTGGAAATCAACTCTCCTGTTCAATATTTCCAGAGCTCTAGTTGTTTTAGACAGCGTGTGGAGTCTCAGGCCAGAGCGGCATTGTGGGCTGATTTTATCACTGGTCACCCAGAACCAGGTGGGAGGGTCTGCTTCCCACTGCCGCCCTGCAGCCTGGACCTGTGGACCCTGGTTATAAAGAGGTCTATCTTAGAAAACCAGTGTCACCTTTTTTCACCTTTTAATTTTATATTATTTGTGTCATACATTTCCTGTAATGGAAGTGTTAATTTTACTGTACTTTTTGGTACCTTTTGGGAATCTAATGTATTGTAAGGTATTTTACACGTGTCCTGATTTTGCCACGACCTGGATATTGAAGCTATCCAAGCTTTTGAAATAAAAATGTAAAAACCCCCAAGCCTGGGTGAGTGGGGCATGCTGTGAAGAGGGGTAGGGCCTGTGCTCCGGGGCTTTCTGAGCTCCAGCATCCTCCATGACCTGCCAGCAGCCATGTCAGGCAGAGCCACACACACTCCATGTCCTTGCTTGGTTTCCTCTAATGACTTGGCCCTGCGCAGGACTTGAGCCTCTTTAAAGGGAGGAAACGGCTTAAGTTTAAGGCAGCTGTTCATGGGGGTGAAAATGGTGTAGCAGGGGTGCTGCCCCTAAGGTAGTGATTTTGGGGCACCTTGGAACACCTGTCTTGGACAGTGGAAATGGGCTGCTTTCAACAGGACAGTGAACCTGCAGGCAAGGGTGCCCCCTCCTGGTTAGCATGTAACAGCCTGCTCTGGCAGCACCTATTGGCTGCTGGATTGGAGCACCTCAAGCCCTGGTGGCAAGAGGCAGCAGTGGCCTGTGGGGCTCTGGGTGGACGTCTGGTGAAGGGAGTTATATCGTTTCCCTCAACCCCTAGAAGGGGCCAGCTGCAGAGGAAATGGCTGCTCCTGCCCTCTTGCCCCAGCCATCAAATGCAGACTAAGTATTTTGGAGATTTTTGGGCAGGGGCTGGTGGAGAAAGCCCGAGGCAGCCAGGTCCTCCCAGTGTTGGAACTAACCTGTGGAAACGGGGACAATCACTTGGAACAAAGGACCAAAAAAAGGTTTGGCCTCTTGAGTGACAGCAACCGCTGATGTTAAAGGGATCCAGTGTGGCCCACTCACCTAGGGAAGGACATGACTCAGCAGGGTTTCCTTGGCTTGGGGCCTTAGTGTCTCACAACTTCTCACCTTTTCTTCCATGTCTGGAAAAAAACCCCAGAGCCACCCACACTGGTTAATAACTTTCTCTGCTGAAGGCCTCTGCTGCCTCAGTGTCTAAGCTGCTTTGGCTGGCAGTTTAGAGATTTGGCCCACTGGCCTGTTCAGGCTCAGTCACACCTTTACTCGAGTATGGGCCACCAGCAGCCATGGGGCCAGCAACAATTTCCCCAAAGGAGAGGCAACCCTCAGGTTTCCCAAGACTTCCAGGCTCAACTGGAGGCCCCTCTGGAGGAAACCTAAGCCAGTCTACCCAGTCAGCCCTACCCTCACCAGGTCCCGCACCGCCAATCCCACCCCTCCAGAGTCCTGGGGGCTGCTCTGAGATCTCCACTGGGAGACAGGACTTGGCCTATTTTGGGTCCCCAATGATCAATGCACGTGCAGCACAGCCTCAGTGCACAGACAGGTCCAATTGGGTAATTAAGGTTTCCTTGTAGTGAATTTAGGAGAGCAGACCTCTTCCCAGGTGATTGGTATTAAGTGGAATTTCATTTTGTGGTCAGTCAGACCAGGGTGCAAATCTGAATTCAGCCACTTAGCAGCTGATGGTGACCCTCACCTCAAGTCAAGTACAAAGCTGCTATCAAGGTTTCACAATGACCTTTAGGCCACATAATGAGGTGTCCTAATGGCTGGGCTCAGCTCCCACCTATCCACGCACAGGCAGGGATGGGGGAGGCCTGGGCCACTAGGACCCCCCCCCCCCCCCCCCCCCCCTTCACTTCAGTTCCTTGCTCCAGGCTGGGTTCTGGAGACACGGTCAGCTGCCCCTGGGGCTTCCAGCTCACCTGTCAGGACTGCATCCAGCTTGGCCACCACGTGTTGTGCGTTTTCCAAGCTGAAGCACATCGGGGGCTTAAATTTCAGAACATTCCTCCCAGGGCCATCCGTGCTCAGCAAAATGTAGTTCTCCTTCATCCTATAGGACAGGATACAGCAGGGCCCTGCTGCCCCCCAGCCAAGGGGCCCTTCAAGGCCATTTTCAGCCTGATCTTGGCCTCATGGCCAGTGCTCTAGCTACACTGTTCTTGGAGCCCTCACAGGCCAGTTCCCACTAGCATGTGGCACTGGCTCCCCCATACTAAACTGCCCCATCCTTTGTGGCCCCCGTCTGGGGTGCCCTGCACCTGGCCCTAAACGGGCCTTGCTTCACGCATTCCTGGAGCTGTCTCGGCTGCACCAAGACTAGCCATATGGCTCCAATGGAGATGGCAATAGTAGTCCCTGCGTTTTCCATTTTCTGTACTGTGCGATGTGTATGGTTTACTTTTTGTATGGAAAATGTCCAACATTAGAGTAGTATAATGAACCCAATGTCCCCATCATCTAGCTTCAGCAAATTCCCTGCACACAGATCCCAGACAGGACTGTCAGTTTTAATTCCCAGTTCTTTTTAGGAAGATGACTACCTTGACGTTATCATTGGTATGTGACAATTACTATTCCAGATTTACACTTTTAACCTAGGAAGGTATTTTGGCCACTGAGAGGAGTCTGACATGACAATTTACACTGACTCCCACTCCTTTTTTATTCCTTTTATTTAAGTCTTGTCAGGAGCCAGGGTGTCCTGTCCTCAGTCTACCATCCTGCTTTTCCTGGCAATATGGCCACGCTAGAAAGAACAGGGTCTGGGCTTCAAATCCAGCTCTGCTACCTCCTAGCAGGTGATTGCACATGAAACACCCGCCCCTGGTCTCCGCTTCCCTCCTGACCACCAACCATGCTGGATTCCTGAGTTAGGAGGTGCCCTGGGGGGCTGGGTAGGTGAGCTGGCAGATGTGCCCAACCAGCAAAAAGAAGGCAGGGACTGGACGGTCACTTAGGGAGGGGTCAGTCTGAAAAAAACCTCATGGAGAAAAAGATTTTTATATCAATATGTCTTTATGTGAATTCCAAACATTTCACAATTTGAATAAAGACACACATCTTACACTAGGTTTTCGGAGGTGGAGGTGGAGGTGGGGGCAGGAGTGAGGGATGGAGATAAAAGGGAATAACACACTGGTCCTGCCTGGGTTTGAGTGAAAGAACATGTGAACCAGGGCTGGGCCTGGGGTTTGTGAGTCCTGAGATCCTGCTCCATCCAAATGCACCCCACCCAGATGAACAGGAGTCCTGTCCATCCCCCAAACCTGTTCTCTGGGAGCGCAGAGTCTGGTACTGCCACAGTCCTGGTGTGGCGCTGGAGAAGCTGCTGCCCTTGGGCAGCTGAAGTCTGAGCTGTGGTTTTCTCACTTGGGCTGGGAGTGGCCCGCGCCCATCTGAAACTGCTGCCTGGCTCTTTATCTGTGGACCTCGGTCAAGGGGATGCACGGATTGGCCGTCCCTTCCCCTTTAGAGGCTCACATGCCTCCTTCAGTGAACCCTCTGGGCCCAGAGTGCCCAGGAACACGGTGGATGAAAGGAGAGGAAGAGGGAAGATCCCTCTCCATCAGGGCCCTAGACACGGCAACTGCAACTTGTTTCAAAACAACGTACCTGGACACCAAGTAGTCAGCCTCTTCGGTTGCTGGCGTCCTGGTGGCCTCATCTTTGATTAGATCCACACCAATGAAGAGCCCGACACCCCTGGAGTAGAAAGTGACATCTCAGGCGGCCAGGACTGAGGGACCAAGGGCCTTGCCTTCGTCCTCTGCCTGGGCCTCAGCCAAGCCTCAGTAAAAAGTTCACCAGGGCTTGTACCTCTGCCTCCTGGGGAGGCTGAGAGCCGCAGGAACCCTCTGAGGGGGTGAAACAGTCCCGGGAGGTAACTACGATGGAGCTGGGGGGACGAGGGGGTGGCTGGTGCGGGCAGAGGACAGGAGAGTCAGAGGGATTTGACCCTGGCTTTCCTTCCATAGAAGTGCCATCGCCCAACGCTTCAGTTCTTCCCCTGTGGAGAGTAAAACTCCCACCATCCCAGGTAGTTAGGAGGTGAAAGAAGGAACAAAGCCAGTTCCCCTGGCAGGTGCTTGGTTAGTGGGCAGTGCCTGCTGCCCGGAGCCTCACCTGACATCCCCGATGATGGGGTGTTTGGCTTTCTGCTGTCCGAGGAGCTCCATCAGGAAGCTGCCCACTTGGGTGGCGTGAGCCTGCAGCTGCTCCTTTTCCAAGACATCCAGGACAGCCAGCCCCACAGCGCAGGACACTGGGCTGCCCCCAAACTGAGTCAGGGGACAGAGGGCATGTCAGGCACTCAGTAGAGCGGGCCATGCCCCAGAACTGCCCCCCCCCCCCGCCCACATCCCCAGGGCAGTGATACGATCACAGGGCAATAAATAGGGTTCTCCTGAGCCCTACAGGCTGTCCTGCCTTTCCAGGTGCTATTGTGACTGTAACCCAGGTCAGGTACTCCCAGGAGTGCAGTAGAAGCCCTGAGAAGATGGAGAGCCAGAGGAAAGGGTGTACTGTACATTCCCACAGAGCTGTTATTTGTTGACAGGCATTAGGGCCCCATCTCATGGGCCGGGCCCAGGCCTGCAGCATAGGGCTAATTCCCATCACTTTCAAGGAGGGTCACGAGCAGCACACCGGAGACATGCCCAGGAAAAGCCACTCTGTGGTTTGATCTCACATGCGGCCTGAGAATCCACTGTTTGGTTTGTGTGGCATTAAAAGTTTTGAATTAGGTGCGAATGTTTTAAAAAACTGCACAAACATATGTTTTTCTGACTTAAAACAAACCTGGCCTGTCTGGTTATACCCTAGCACTGGCTGTTCCCATCAGGCACCCTGAAGGCTTAGCTTCACTTCCTCCACCTGACCCTGCGGGAGTCCAAGGGGGGCCAGCATCGCAGAGAGCCGGGAACAAGCGTTTCTCCTGCAGACTATCTTTTCCCTTAAACCAGATCTTTAACAAAATATTGGAAAAGTCATGACGCATTTTTGCAACAAAAAACAGCAAAAATACGTCATGACTTTTCTAACAACCCAATACTTCATTGAGGTACAGGTTATAAACAAAAAACTGCATATATTTAAAGTGTATACAGTCATACACCACTTAATGGGGATACATTTTGACAAATGCCTCGTTAGGCGATTTCCTTGTTATGGGAACATCACAGAGTGCATTTACACACACGGAGATGGCACAGCCTACCACACACCTAGGCTGTGTGGGATAGCAAGCCTATTGCTCTGTAGGGGAGGAAAAATCATTTTCCTGCTACCCTTTTGTGTTCCTGGCTGAAACATCCCTGTAGTAAAAGAGATTAACAAAAAAACAACAAACAAAAGTTTAATAACACGTCTACCTCCGGTATACATGGGACAGAACCCAGAAAACAGTAACTCCTGGAAATGGCTGAAGGCCACACCTTAAATACCATCTTTAGCTGAAGACAAGAGAAGGTGTTGGTGAGGTGGGGGCCAGTTATGGGAGGTGACCAGGAAAAGCCAATAAACCAGGGTAAGGTTTTTGTGTAGTTTTTTAAAAAAGATTTTTATTGGGGAATTGGGGGGGATGAGAACAGTGCTAGGGAATTGGGGGAAGGGGAACAGACAAGTTGCTGTCGTTTTGTTCCTCAGTCCAGCCGTGGAGGACGCTGCTTCACCGTCCCAAGTTGGCACTATCATTGCGCTCTTCCTGGGCGAGGCACATCAGTTCGCTGGCCTCTGGACGGCCGCTCATGCGGCTGCTGGCCGCTTACGCTGGCTGCTGGCTACACATGGTAGCCCATGGCAACCCATTGCCACAGGGGCTGCAGCCTACGACGGCGATGGCGACTCACAGCAGCCCAGCTCCAGGTTGAGCCGCCTTTCAGCATCTCAGCTGCGGAGGGCAGTGTCACTGGCCCTCACATGTGGGATCCGAATCGGGGGCCCTCTGGCATCCCAAGCCAGCTCCCAACCATCGCGCCACTCGGCCGGCCTGGTTTTTGTGTAGATTTAAATTATTGCTGTCTGCATTGATAGGAGTTTCTAGAGATGAGGTCATCCCCCTCTTCCTTTACAAATGGAGATTTCCCTTATAAATGTAAATGACTCTTGCAAAGGTTAACTTCTACTTGGTTTTCAGAGCTTCTCCCAATTCTGCTGTTTCTTAAAATTAACCAGCCTAAAATAATCCTTATGCCAAAGAAACGTATTTTGGGGGACAAATTCTGTTCTCCTATATCTCTAGGCTACAAAGCAGTACAGCATGTTACTGTACTAAACATGGTAGGCAAGTGTAATACAATGGTGTTTATGTAATACGTTCATTATAACTGCTATGACATCACCAGGTGATAGGAATGTTTCAGCTCCATTATAATCTTATGGGATCACCATCCTATATGCTGTGGATGAAAGAGGGGGTATGTACTGAAAGTAACCTCACAGGGTGATCTGATAATAAATTCCTAACTAGGCGGGTCATAGTGGGTGGTCATGCCCCAGGCCTGTAACTTCTTTAGTAAAAGGCTTATCTTTGTTTTAAGCAAGCCCTGTTCATTGTTTCTATGCATCTAGGTTGACACACCTTTGACAGATTTTTTTAATTTTAAAATTCTGCATCTGAAAACAGTATGACAGAAAGCGTCTATATACCACACACACACTTTTGAAATAAGCCTTGCCACCCTCAAGAAAGTACATAATCTTGTTAACTATCCTGTAATCCAATTTCTACCTTGCTTTTGTGGGAACCTTCATGTAATCTTCCTTAATTTCAAATGCATACAAGAAGCTGCAAACTGCCCCTCTTGGGAGCATTATTTTCAGTCTGTTGAGATATTGCTTCCAGGTGTATCCTTTGTTTGGCTCAGGTCAATTTTTATAAAAATTCTCTACAGGTTCGGATGTTCTTACATCGACAATGTGGTCTGTTGACTAAAATGTCATTATACGGTGCACGACTCTAGTTCTATGTGATTTGACAAACTTACAAACTGTAGAACCTTTACAACAATGAAGACACAAAACATTTGCATCACTCCCCAAAGTTCTTAGTGACCCCCTCCACACTGGCCCAGGCATCCACTGTCCTGCTTTCTGTCACTATCGTTTTGCCTTTTTCAGAATGTCATATGAATGGAATCACAAAATATGTACCCTTTTGTGCCTGGCTGCTTCTGCTCAACATGTATTTGAAATTTATCCATATTGTTGTGTGTATCAGTAGTTTTGTTCATTTTATTGCTGTATAGTATTCCATTGTATGGACATACCACAATTTGTTTATCCAGTCCCCCTTGATGAACCCTTGGATTATTTTGATTTTTGGCTATTAAGAATAAAACTAATATTATTAACATTTATAGCAAGTTTTTTTGTGAACATATGTTCTCATTTCTCTTGGGTAAAATATCTAGGAGTGGAACTGCTAGATTGTATGATAAATGTATATTTAACTTTATAAAAAACTGTGAAACTGTTTTCCAAAGTGATGGTACCATAACAGAGTCTCACCATTAGTCTATGAAATTCCAGTAGCTCCACATCCTCAAAAACATTTGGAATTATCAGTCTTTTTAATTGTAGTTGTTCTAATGGGTGAATAATGGTATCCTGTAGACCAGTGAAAATCTGACCATACTTATGATTATAAAAAGCTTCCTAGGCGATTCTGCTATGAGGCAGCTTTCTGATATGTCCAAAACAAATGATATGTGGAATGGACACAGGGGATACACTGAGGCTACTTACTGTATAATATTATTAACCATGAATTCCTTAAAAGGTGGACTGTCCTTGGTTTAGAATCATGACCTGGCCAAGATGCTCAACTAGCACAATAGGTAGGTCTTTCCCCCAAGATCACCCCAGAAGGACAATAGAAAGAAAATGAACAGGGCCAGCCGAGTGGCTCAGTTGGTTAAGAGTGTGAGCTCTGAGCAACAGTGTTGCCAGTTCGATTCCCACATGGGCCAGTGAGCTGTACCTGAGCTGAGCTACCAACAGGTGGCAGGATGGCTCAGCTGGTGAGAGCACATTCTCCTAACAACAAGGTTGTCGGTTTGACTTCCGCATGGGATGGTGGGCTATGCCCACTGCAACTAAGATTGAACACAGTACACCTTGAGCTGAGCTGCCCTGAGCTGCCCTGAGCTGCTGACTGGCAGCTGGATGGCTCAGTGGTTAGAGTGTGAGCTCTTAGCCACAAAGTTTCTGTTTTGACTCCCACATGGGATGGTGGGCTATGCCCACCTGCAACTAAGATTGAACACAGCACCTTGAGCTGAGCAGCCGTGAGCTGCCCACGGGTGGCCGGATAGCAACTGGACTTGGGAGCTGAGCTAGCTGCGCCCTCCACAACTAAGATTGAAGGACAACAACTTGGCTGTTCCCCTTCCCCAATTTCCCCAATAAAATCTTAAAAAAAAAAAAAGAAAAAAAAAAGAAATGAACAAAAGCTTTGATATAGTCCTGGGTATTACTTCTGGCATTCCAAAGGTGTGCTAACTTAGATGAACAAGGACAATGGACAGGGCTGCCTTAAAAACCTTTCACTGAAGAAGCTATAGGCTTGGGGTGTGACTACCCACCGTGACTTATCCAGTTAGGAATTTATAATTTATTACAGCACTGCTTTTCTGTCCCCCAGTTATAAAATAAATGTCATGGGGTTGTAATGTACAGCATGGTGACTGTAGTTAAAAAAGATTGTATCGTGTATTTTAAAATTGCTAAGAGAGTAGATCTTAAAAGTTCTTAACACAAGAAAATAAACTAACTGTGTGGTGATGGATGTTAACTAGACTTACTGTGGTGATCATTTCACAATACAGTTGACGCTTGAAAAACGTGGGGGTTAGAGGTGCCAACCACCCACACAGTCGAAAATCTGTGTATAACTTAAGTTGGCTTTCCACATATGCGGATTCCCTGGGACTGTGCAAGTCCACTTACACGATTTGTACATCTGCAGTACAAAGCTGTGTTGTTCAAGGGTCAACTGTGTATACAAATATTGAATTGTTATGTTGTACACCAGACTAATATAATGTTTTATGTCAATTATATCTTAATAAAAAAAGGCATAGAGAATATTGAAATTAGCAAGAAGAAGTGACTTATCACATAGAAGAGATTCTCAACAAGAATAACAGCTGATTCCTCATCAGAAACCATAAAGTCAGAAGGCAGTGGGATGACATATTCAAAGTGATGAAAGAAAAAGATTGTCAATCAAAAATTCTATATAAAGTATAAATAGCCTTCAAAAATGCAGAAACTAAGA